TATTTACATTATTTTTTTTGGTTTAGTTGATAATCTTAAAAAAAAATTACATTAACAATTAAAAAAACCATAAGAGCTAAGATTATGAATTGAGTAAATTTAATATAGATTACAGTAATGAAAGTAATAAAGTAGTAATTTTTCCCTTCATTTCAAAATTATATAAATATCAGGGGTAGAATAATATTTTTATAAATAGTCTAAATATGATTTAAGATGACTAGTGTTTATTGCACAAATTCAAATGCATGCAATGTTTCGGGCTTTTTAAATGGCATGTATCCCAAACAAAAATCTAATTTGACATGTATGATCTTTTTTTTTTCTCTCTCTCTTTTGATTTTTGTGTTGACCTTGCAAAAAAGTAAAAATAGTAGTTCATCTTGTTATTTTATATTTAATTTATATTTTTTATTATTATTTATTTTATTTAAGATAATTTTTAAAAAAATAAATTTACAATTTCATTTTTTAAAAGTTTTTTTCCTTACCAATTTGGTCCTTATTATTTTTACTATTAAGTTTTTTCCTTGATAATTTTTTTGGATTGATTCCTTTTTATATCTTATTTCATACTTCAATATTTAATTTATTAAAAATTAATTTTTTTATTAAGTATGGTCTATAATTTTATGGGCTGCAAGTTTTGAATATTAGCTAAGGTTTAGAAACTTCTTCAAGGTTTACTAGCTTCTTTCTTCTTCTTTTTTTTAAATTTTTATTTTTTTATTTTATCCTCAACATTTAACACATATTTGGTCTTGTAATTTATAACATTTTTTTTATATTAGAAAAAAATTTACCAACTCACAGCGTAACGTAATTTACCTATCTAAGTAAAAACTGGATGATATCCCTCATTCAGTTTATTCAAACATGTAATATTCAATCTATTTTATTAAAAGTACACAACGAATTTTGAATTTATAGTTTTTTTAATTAAAAATATGTTGACAATAATTGCACATTTTTACGGTGTAAAAAAAACTTTTATTCTGACCTGCAGTGGAGCGCATGTCGTCTGGTAATACTATCAGGAAATCAGAGTGTGATCAGTTAGGAATCTCTTAACCAGAATTGTATAGAGTATAGAGTGAGCTGAAGCAAATAATATTATATGTAGTAAATCACTCGTTTAACTGCCTTAATTACTTTAAATTTTTACTAAATACGTTTCGGCATCCACATATCCCACTTGTGTTTCCGACAAGAGTCCAAAAGGGGAGAGCACAATCATACTTCAAAACACCATCAAGCAAACATCACAGTGACTTATGAACTACCAATTAATGGGAACATTTAGTAAACAATTACTTTCCAAATAATTTGACTAAAAACATTGCTATGCTGTGAAGACAGTTGAGGGATTCATTAGAATGCCTTATTGCATAATTATGGAGCAATATCCCCGTCATTAAAATCGAAAACACATCAAGTTTTATAATACAAAATCAAAAAAAAAAAAGAGGAAATCTAGCCGAAAAAAAAAAAAAAAAAAAAAAAGAGGAAATCTAGCCGCGAAAAGCCTATATATGTACATTGGCTGGCATGCCATGGATGTTAGAAAGTTTTTGTTTCCAGTGTTGCAACAAACATCTCTCGAGCACGCATTCGAGAGGGGGCCTTGCTCGTCCGGCTGAAACTATAGGCATTCGAGAGGTCCGGACACTCAACTCAGTAATCAGTGATATTATGACCTGTACATTGCAACGCTACAAACAACTCTTGATGGGTTAGATTTAGCTGAAAAATGGTTACATTTTTTCTTCAAAGACACATAAAAAGTCTTTTCAAAAAGCCGATCATATGTCAGGTACAGAAAAGGAAGAGGGAGTTCGATGTACTTGTCGAAAGTAAACTTCGTAAAGGCCCAATTAAAGCAAAGCTTGTTAAGGTTGGTAGATTTGGTCTTTGATCTCACTTAAACTTAGAGTCAAGACTCTCCCTAACATAATCTCTGGTCAATTCTTCGCAATGAGATTGGTGTCAAGACTTTCTTTAACATAAAGACTAGGCCATCCTTCGCATGGATGATTGCATGGCCACCGGCTAGGCTGGTAGCTGTGTCTTTATGTTAAAGAAAGTCTATTTGATCTCCATAATTTTTAGTATACGTACTTTATGAAGATTTCTATTTGATCTCCTCTACTTTTCAAGTTCTTGTAAGTTTAAATAAATTATCAATCAAACACATCCTCATAAATACAGTTTTGATTTCTAATTAACAGTGTTCTTGGCAAGGATATTCTCGATACGAATGTATAGGAGCTCACATAGAAAAGGTTTAAGTAGAGGTATTCAAGGAGATTTTGGAGGTGTTCGAGTTAATGAATTGGAGATTTTGGAGGTGTTCGAGTTAATGATTTTTTTTAGAGTATTTTTTATTTAAAAATATATTAAAATAATTTTTTTTTATTTTTAAAAAATTATTTTTAATATCACAACATATTAAAAAAATAAAAAAATATTTTTAAAAATCAATAACAAACTGCTCTTTATTGAGAAATACGTTTATCTTTTAACTTCAATACAGAGAACAAGATTGAGGAGACGTTTGAGATGAAAGAATTCCAAGATCTGAGATTGACCTCTAGTCTTTTGACGCAAAAAGGACATGTAATTGGTCGGCAAAACCCAATGGGTGACGTGTCTTTTTCCTTGCCGGCCTTTTTGAGAAGGATTTTTTTGAAGCAACAACATGTGCAATACTGTAACTTTAAACTTATTTACTAAAACAATTTCTTTTTTCCAACATATGCATTAAACACAATCATTGAAATGACATGGAAATGAAGTAGTTGTAATAATAAATAAATAAATAAAACGTTATTTACAAGCAATCTTAAGTTTCAGCCATCTTTTTTTCTTTTTGAAGTTTGGCTCTCTGCCAAAAACATGTGTATCATTTTTATTTTTATTTTTATTTTTATTTTTGTGGGAAGAATCATCATTTCTAATGATACTATAATAGAATTCTTCAATTTCAAGTCTCTTGAAATTTTATTTTATTTTTTTATTGATATGAATATCTATATCAACTTACATATATTTTAATTAATTTTATGGTTTCTAATATTAACAACATTGACATTAACAATATATAAGTTTTTAATAATTTTAAAGTTTTTTATAATTTTTAATTTACAAAAAAAATTATGTTGATAGGTATTATTATGGTAATGTAATTTATGCTGCAAAGTGAATTAATTAAAAATCTAAACAGCGCCATGACTGTAATGAAATCCACTCAACCAATAATAAATTGATGTATCTGAAAACCATCAATTTGTGTTGAAGTTTTTATGAATTGGAGCAATGAGAGAAGGAGATGAAACTAGAAGGAAGAATTGGGTAAGAATCGATGTGACTTGCGCAATGGTTCAAGAATAGACGCAAGAATTTCATTTCAAAAGGCGATCCAATTTCCAGCGGATAATCGATATCAATGCAAGAATCCTTAATCCCAAAAGAGATTATCCAAACTAGGGAGTTTCTTTTCAATAAACAATAATTAAAATTAAGGGGAGAGATTGTTGCCTTTAAGTTCCCTCTAACCCTTCCATTTCGGAACGAGTCTTTGGATTTAATTAGAGGGTATTTTTTTCGGGGTAAAAAACAGAGAAGATTATATAATGTTGTGGACATGGCTTACACTCCCCTGGTTTGGAAAATACTAGTCATTTATCCTGCAACTTGTAATTTTTAAAAATATATATAAAAAGTAAAATCTTGTCATAAAAAATATTGTACAAGATCGAACATATCAGCAATATAATTTAAAAATAAATATTTATTATTTAAAAAATAAATTTTATTTATAAAAAAATCATAAATAAATTAAAATAATACCTTAAAATATGAAATAGAAACAAAACAAGTAAAAAAATATATATATTCAAAAACAACATGTAAAAACTATAAATTAGGTCATAAAACTGAGATAAACTTATAGAAAAAACTTAAAAATAATCACAAAACTAATATTAAAAATTAAAACTAATGCAAAACAATAATATCATAAAAAGCTAAATTTTCAAAAATTAAATGTTGAAAGATGAAACTAGGAAAAAAATTAATTACACAAAATGATCCAAAAAAATAAAGATGAGAAAAAATATTAAGTAGAGGGATGAATAATTTAAATAGGAGGGTCTAATTGAATTCAAAAATAACTATAATAAGAGAAAATATAATAAAAGAATATGAATTAAATTGAAAAAAATAAAACAACGGATATTTTGATTAAAAGATGAAATTAAAAAAATTTAAAAAAAGTGTCGAGAACAAGATTAAAAATTTTAAAAGATGAAGACTGAAATAAAAAATCAAATATATGAGAAATTGCAATTGAAGGATTAAATTAAAAAAAATAAAAACTTTTATAAATGAAAAGAAAATGAAATAAAAAATTAATAGAACTAAAATTGAAATTGAAAAGTAAAAAATGAAAAAAACAATAATGTACATTACATGTTCAAAGAGGTAAAAAAAAAGTGGAGATCAAACAACCACTTGGAATAATCAAACCACCATAAACTATCATGTGCAACTGTAAATGAAAGAAAACACAACAATATATCTACATATCTAAAAAGATAATAAAAAATTAATTATATTTATCAAATATCATCACACACGTCTCTCTTAAATGATACAAACGCCACACACATGCTAAGATATGCTAAGTACACTCCAACAACTTTAAGCACAAAAAAATTTAAAAACAAATATAAAAATATCAAATAATCTTCCATAACCTGAAAAATTACACAAAATACCTCAAGGTGCCCACCTTAGATTATCTCTTAGGTTAAGGATGCACTTATATTGTATAGAAAAATCTAAAAACCTCAAAACACCTGTATCCGACAACACAGTGTAAATTCATATTTTTATTGTTGAAACATTTATGAAAAGTTCAGAAAAACCTTAATCAACAATTCTATAATTTGTTGATCTTGCAGGCAAAGGACTATTGTTTCTATATTTTGAACCAAAAAAGCACAAAGACAATTTTATTGTAGCCAAAGATACATTTTACTATGGATTTAACTCCAATAAAACACCAACACGGTTTAGTTTTTTAGGTAAAAGTTTGAACCTTATCAAGAGAACTAGACGCACTCTTGGTTCAGAAACAAAAGTCCAAATAACGGGGCTCGACTCCCTTGGTGATACGGTAATGTAACAAAGTTGTTACTCTCTAGGCGAGCGTAGACTTTTTGGCAGGAAACTAAAGGAAACAGGCGGCCTAATGCAACTTTTTTCTTCGATGGCAACAGAGCTCCAAACCCGTATGTTCATCTTTGTGCCCACCCGTCGCCTAATTTTGGAGGTCAAACAAATATTTGAGTAGTTTTCTTTTTACAGGCCCTCCATTCCAGTATGGATGTATAGATTGTTGCTTCTGGTGTTGCAGCACGTCCCCGTTTTGTGTTCCCAAACATCCAAGGATTAGAAGACTGGGGCAGCCTTTCCTTTATTGCTTAGCTGTAATCCCCGCAGTCTGCAACAGCATATCAACAGTTGGGAACATACAGAGAAAGCAGCCAAATCTTGTTCTAGTCATAAAACATATCTCTGCTCCCGAAAACCTTCGAATGAAATCTACGCTTCTCTCCATTCTATGAAATGAATCGTTCGAGTCCAAAAAAAAAATAATTCCCAGCACAGCAATGAGGAATAGCCAAGTAGCTTGGTCCGTGCCAACACAGTAATTGAAAAACAAGTGAGCTACACGAGATTTATCAAGCTGTGACACCTCAAAACACAAGGATTAACCCAAGCACAATGTCAACTTCGACAACCACTCATTGAGGTCCTGCAAATTTGCCCATCATCTTTGCAATTATAGGAGCCACCTTGGGGTTTGCTTGATGCTTAGCAAGATTAGCTGGGTTCTTCATTACTGCAAAATGATCACCCATGAGCATGAGAAACATTAGCAAACATGTAAACTAGAATTCTACATTAAAAACAGTAAACAACGTTTTGTAAGTTACTAATCTTTGTTTCTTAACATCCTTGCATTCAGTTACTCAGGCACATGTTTCATACAGACATCTTTATATTACCCTGGCTACAGGAACATGATTACATGACAACCCTCACAAGAGACAAACCAGTAGCAGCTAATCCATCAAGGTTATAATAAAAAACGACAACAGAAGACAAATAAAACATATTAAGGCGGAAACAAATTCTACCATCTTGAAGTGCAGCCATGATTTCTGGATCACTAAATGCGGACATCAATTCAGGGTCCTGTCCAAACGCAATAAAATACACATCAAACAACAAGCACAAAACCATAGAGTATTCACTGGCTAAGGGATTTAATTATGAACATTATGCCCTACAAAAAAGCAAGTGTAGAAGTGCATGTGAGTATCAGTGCCAGTGTGGGAGTGGGTGCAGGGAATGTGATCTTATCATTTAAAGTAAAATGCATGGCCAATTTTATTTGTATTTGGGAAAAAAACAAGAAGAGTTTTTAGAAAGAAAATAAAGCCAATGTTATTTGTATTCGGCAGCACAAAAATATTGACAAGAATTTCTAAACATCAAACAATTAACATATACTTAGAAGCGTCTTAAATTACTTCTGTATATGATATAAAATGGCCAATCAGCGATGAGTTCCATGACACTTACATTCAATATTTTGCTAAAATCAACATTTCCAGGCATCCCTCCTGGCGTGGCACCAGGGAAACCTCTAGGCATCCCTCCTGGCATGCCACCTGGGAAACCTCCAGGCATTCCCCCAGGCATGGCACCTGGGAAACCTCCCGGCATCCCACCTGGAAATCCACCTGGCATGCCTCCAGGTTTTCTACTGGAAGATGACTGCTCTTGCTCCTTGGCCTTCTCATACTCAGCCTTTAAACAGGAGGAAATAAGTCTAATGATGACAGCAAGCTAAAATGTCAGGATGATCATGATCACAGTTACCTGAGCTTTAGCACGACGGCGTTGCCTCTCACGCTCAGCTTTTTTATCCCCCCTCTCTTTGTGTAGCCTTTCATACTTCCTGCGGTGTTCCTCAATCCTGTGTGCATTTGGTTCAACCTGTGTAATATAGCAGTTTCAGTGAGATGGCAAAAAAATATTATGCAATACACCAGTGAGATTTTTCTTTAGCAATTCAGTCATGAACTTGAAAAGCAAGCAACCACACATGTATCGACTTATTTTATGAAGGCTTGGTTTGGTAAAACTCATGCCATTGAAATTAACAGTTCTAAAAATGGAAAGTGTCAGCTGCACACGTGAGTCCTAAAGATAGACTGACTGTCATGCATTAATCTACAATTATTAAATGATCTGGACATTGAAACAATCCCACTCCCAACCAAAACTTAAAATTTTAGTTCTTAAAATTAAATAAAGGGTAATCTTATTTTACATCACATTTATCTATTCAAAATAGGGAAGGCAGGAGAATCTCCTGCTGTATGCCCCCCCATCTCTTCCCAAGCACATTCAGCGATAAACGTAACATGTGACTAGCATTTGTCAACTATAGCTGAATATCAAGCATTTCATATGCATGGAGAACAAAATGTAAAGGTGGTATTATACTGCATTGGAATATCTATCATTTCATAAATAGTTTCCATTGCTTCCATCATTTTAAAATTTGACATTACAGGAAATACAACAAAAGGTACAAAACACACATGGGGAAAGAAAGATAGAAAGAGACCTTCTTAAGTACAGCACCTATCTCCTCATCATAATCTAACTTCGATGCCAGGTGAAGATCCTTGGCAGCATCTTCCCACTGACCGAGCATTGCCTGTGCCATGCCACGAGACTTGTATCCCTTAGCTGAGTCCGAGTTAATCTGAAATCACCATTAAATTTATAAATAGGATAAACTTCACCTCAAAGTATCCCTTCATACAAAAACATGATTAGATTATATAGAGATGTAAAACGTGTAAATAAATAGGGCAGACAACAACCTCTAGGGCTGCATTAGCATCCCGGATAGCAGCATTGGGCTTCTTCATTTTGATGTAAACAGTAGCTGTAAAGCATCACAAGTTCACAATATTAACAACATAGAGGAAATTGTGCAAACAAATCTCATTCATGGAACTTCCATTAGACCAACAGGAAACCTTACAAAAAAAAAAAAAAAACAATGATAATGTACCTCTTGTGGCATACATGATTGCTGATGAAGGATTGAGAGAAATTGCTTCTGTCAAATGTTCAATCGCTTCCTCAAGTTTACCTGCACAGCATGAAGCACTAAATCACATACACAAATCTCACCATAAAACCAATTTGAACTACTACACACGCACGCAGTAATCAAAATTTCCACCTGTTAATGCATTTGAGCACTTGGACACTTGTATACCATACCTTGAGAGAGAGCTTCCATGGCTTTAGCCTTGGCCTCTTGAGAAGCATCGCGACATTCCTCTGTAACCTCTACCGACGGGTCCCCCATCTACAAATAGTCAAGTCCATCATCAAGGAAAAAGAAAAACTAAAAAGCAACCAATACATACCGCCCTACAGTTGTTTTGAAGAAATAAAAGTAAAGCAATACCTTCTGTGGAGGATCATTATCAGGGTCAACAGTGTCGCCTTCGAGCTCAAGATCGGATTCAATAATCTCCTCCTCCTCATCCTCCTCCTCCTCCTCTTCGATTTGAGGTTCTACTTGTGACTCTTCCTTCTCCTCCATTTCCTCATCGCTCTCCTCGACAACATAGCTCTTCTTTTGAGCAAAGACGGGGAGCTTAGCGCCGAGACTAAAAGAAATGGTATCGGAAGTGAGAGAGATAGGCAGTGAAATGATTCAAATAATTCCGTAATTATTAGTATGATTATCCTTATACCTTTCGAGGTAGTCGCGGAAGAAGAAAAGGGAAGGATCAGCGAGGATGGATGGACTGGATTTGCACTGTTCAATAAATTGCTTCAATTCTTCTAGTTTTGCTGCGTCCATTCTGCAGATATTTTTTGCTTTAGAGAGAGAGAGAGAGAGCGCGTGTCGAGGGTTTTTAAATTATGCGTTTCTTTCGAAATGGAAAGCAGCTTGCTTGTTTTTTCATTATTATTATTTACTGGGTTTTTCTAGTATCTTCTAACTATAATCGGATAGGGATCATCTGAAGGGTGTGCGCGGGCCTACTGTATATCGATGGTAGCATTTGATGAAGCTAGGCCCGGTTAGTTTTTGGAGATAGGCAAAGCCCATTTCTTAATGCACCCGTTTCCTTATTTTTATTTTCCTTGTGAAAGAGGCACCTGTTATTGTTATTTAATTTAATTTAATTATCAATTAATAAACAAATTAAAATGTTTATAATAGATATAATTCAATTTATTTTATTTTATATATTACCCTTCACCTTCATTTAATTCAAACACCATAAATTTGATCCATAAATAAAAATTACATCAATTTAAAAAACTTTCCTAAACTTGTATCTTTTTTTTTAAGACAAAAAATTAAAATCACCTCCATGAGGCTACTATTTAAAACATATTTGATAACAAATTTAACTTAAAAAAACAACATAGTTGATAACAAGTTTGGTATTTTTGTTAGAAAGTATTTATTTTAGCTTTAGTGATTAAGTATAACTCAATTATACATAAAACTCAATCATTAAAGCTATTTTTTTGGATTCCGTACTCAAACCTCCACCTCCAACTCTAAATAAACACATAAACATTAATAACTAAACATTTTTTCTCTTTTTTTTATTTTTCAGCAATTCTCTTTCCTTCCTGGGGATATAAGGACGAAGGCACAAATAAAATAAAAATTAAAACATAAAATCCTTAAACAATATGATAAAATAAGTAAAATAAAAAAATTCAAGGATCAAAATATAGTTTTCCATGTTAAAAAATGAAAATGAAATGCTTTTTTTTTTAATTTTGATTTCTTTCAATATTATTAATAATAAGTTAAAATTCTTTTTTCATAAAATTAATGTTTAATTCATATGCGAAACACTCTAAAGCATCGAACATGCAATAGAATATAAATCAAAGTGAATTATAAGATATAAAACGATGCATTGAAAGGAAGAAATAACCAAAAAAATTCATAGTGCTTTAAGATAGAACTCGTAATAAAATTAGGTTTTGTTTTAGTGTTTTTTATATTTGTAATGTAATTATAATATAATGCAATGTACAAAGTACTGATATTCAGTCCAAAAATTTTGGTTTGGTGACCGAATGTAATTTCCCTGTAAACCCTCATACATACAAAATATAAACTTCAAGAGCACTAAATGCATTATATTTTAGACATTGTTCGTATTTGCAGTGGTACTGTGGTTTTTTTTAAAATGTTTTTAAATTAATTTGCTTTTTATATATTTTTTAATTATTTTAATATACTGATGTTAAAAATAAATTTAAAAAATAACAGCTAATTAACCTCATAATTAATTTGAAACTCAATGGAAATATTAATTAGGCCTTGAAAATCATTTCCCTGAAAGTGACGGAGAAGTGAAGGCTTTTCTGTCCAAAAGCCGATGAACAAAACAACCAATGTCTTTGAACGCTACTAATCATTACTCAAAAACTATTGAGATACGCCTTCTCAAACAAGGTGCAGGAGTATGTAAAATATTGAAAAATTAATTTAAAAAATATTATTAATTGATATATTTAATATCAAATTAAACATAGAATTCACTTATATTTTGAAATTAAAATTTTATTAAAAAATTTTCTTCAACATAAATATCATTATTCAAAAACTATTAAGATGCATCTTCTCAAACAAGATCTAAAAAAATATAAAAAATATTGTTGATCAGTATATTTAATATCAAATTAAATATAGAATTCATTTATATTTTGAAATTAAAATTATATTAGAAATTATTCTTCAACATAACTACTTTGATATACAACATCAATATATCTAGAATTAATTTGTGAGTAAATAAAAAATCAATCTCAAATAATTTTTAATTGATACACTTTTTTAAACTCAAAAAACTCCAATTTCTAGTTAAAAATTAGCAACAATTTTTTATAATTTATAAAATTAGAATTTGAGAGGTTAAAATTGAGAAGGCAGGGCATCAAAGCGGAAGGGAAATGCTTTAGGTTAAGTGGATTTTGGACTTAAGTTAAATGTGCTTGGCTCATGGCTCAGTGTAGATTAATTTTTTGATCTATAAAAGATCTCGTTTTAAGGTGAAAATTGTTAGGTTTAATTTTGTTTTATGACCTATAACTGAGGGTTAAAAACAGTGGGAATTAATTTTTTTAATAAAAAGATTAATTTTCCAAAATTATAAATAAATAAAGGTAGAAAGGGAGGGGGGTTGTTTGGTCATTAACAATCAACTCTTCTGCCTTTGCTTTCCTTCTCCTTCCATTGTCATTCTAAAGCTTTAGGTTCTTGTTTCCGCTGAGAAAATTGAAATCAGTTTGTCAAAGTTTAGTTCTCCTCTGCAATTTTACTAGTAATTCTATGCTTATACGTATTAAATTACATCGAGTTCAATTAAACATTAAATGTAACACAAGCATAAAACGCCTTCATAATAACCATGTAGACTCAAGCTCTTCCCATAACTACAATTTTATTTTCCTATTCCAATTGAATTCGGAGAGCTACATGCATATATCAGAGTTGCTCCAGTTGAGAATTGTTTTTTTTTTTTCTTGTGACATTCCCTTGAATTGTAAAATAGATTAGTTGAATCTATATATATATATATATATATTAGTAAACTTTTACTTTTTAGATATTATTAATTCAAATCTTATAAATTTTAGAATTACTGAAAACTTATATAATTATTAATTTTAAATTTATTAAATTAGTCATGTATATATATATATCAGTAAACTTTTACTTTTTAGATATTACTAATTCGAATCTTATAAATTTTAGAATTACCGAAAACTTTTATAATTATTAATTTTAAATTTATTAAATTAGTCATGTAAATCCGAATATTTATATCAATATAAAAAAACAAATTATATGGCAAACTAAGCTTGGTGTAGAAACAAAACCCATTGTCATAAAATATCAAATTTGAAGCTTTGAAACATTCAGATGCAAGTGCAATAGGCATCATAAATAAAGTCTGACATAATCTGAATTTACTAAGAGGGAGTAACGATAATGCTCATATCAATCCAGAGAAAGAGATGCGCAAAAAAGCCCTGAATGGAGGAAATATGGCTCTCTATCACATGAATGCTCTCGACATTATTTCCGCTGCTAATTCTATCCTGATGGTTGCAAATAACAAATTACAGATTCAGATCCCCTAATGCAGGAGAGACGCGACCAATAATACGAGCAAGCCTGAAAGTCCAGTCGACAATGACATTCTGCTACCACCATTTCCATCGTTTCCAGGAACTGCTGTAAAGGTTAAACAGAGGCATTAATGATGATGAATTAGATGGAAAACCACTATAGCCTGCACAGAATTGAAATGATTTAAGCCACTACTGCGCAATGACCACCAATCCTTGAGGGTGCCAATTTTTCAGTTCATCGCTACTATATTATAGGAAGCGTGTTCACAGAGGGTTGGAAAGGAAAAGGAACGAACATGTTGAATATAATCAACAAGGCAGCAAATACGGTTTATATATAACAAAATCATTCTATAACTCTTCTAACGCGCATTTATATACATACATATATATATATATATATAACAAAGTCATTCTATAATTCTTCCAACGCGCATCTATATGTCATTCAAGATTTTGCCCTTTTTTGTTTTTTATCATCCTCGTAAACTATCATTGACTACCAAAATAAGAGGCGTTCTCCCTAAAACGCGTGTGGGGTTAGCTATAAATTAGGTGTAAATTAAAGTGACGGGCGTATAAGAGTGCAGTGATTATTTTAATATTAAAACGCAATTTCAAACTGAGTAAAAAATACAGGCGAAATTGGTGGCGCACCGAAGGAGCACGCCAGGCATCATCATCTTAACGACTCGCCCTTACATTTAAAAAAATATTAAAAAAATATTTTTAATTTTTAACTGCAAAAAAAATTAATAATAATTAACTGCAAAAAAAATCAGAGACAGCCCAAACTTCGAAGTGACTTTTCTAATTAATTAACTGCAAAAAAAATCAGAGACAGCCTGCCACCAGAATATCATAATCTGATATCCCCGGAACATTATACTCAGACATTGATATAAAACCTAATTTTTACTTTTATAGTATCAATTGAAAAATAATAATTATTATTATTATCTATACCTGAACCAGCTGGCGTTGGAGCTGAAGCTGTAAAAAGTACGCAAGGAAAAGAAAACAATTAGTTTCATGTTCAAGAACGTATATTAAAAAAATAACATAATATTCTAATCCAGAAAAATCGGGATCGGCCACCTTGATGAGAAAATAAAAATGAGAATATCAAGAAAATCAGAATGACCACAAGTTGAAAGACGAGAATTAATATCTACTATCTTTAATTTTCTGTTTATCAGAAACAAAATTAACATAGTTTTAAATCAATTTGCAATTTCTTGAACCCCGAAGGATCAAAACCATCAACCACCCTAAGAAAAAAACAACAAAAATCAGTTTAGTGAGAAAATCTATCAAAACTCAGAATCCACAATACCACTGCAACTACTGAGATCAGTGGTGACACCGCATCTCTGGCTGAGCATGACGGCCTGAGTGACATTTATACCCAAACTCTGAAACAAAGTGGGGTCGTTATAGATTTTGCAAAGACAAGGAAGCTCATTTGCAACCGCTTCTTTGATGGAGTTGCAGCAGGTGTCTGGTGGCTGGGTTGTGGTGCTGAGGTAGGCTTGACATGGTACTAACTTAGATGCACAAGAAGTGGATTGGTCTTGTGCTCTCGTTAAGGTTGTCGCGCTTGAGAAAAAAACTACAACCATCATCGCCAGAATAGAAATCTTGAGAGAAGAAGCCATTTCCTTGTTTCTTTTTACTGCCTGTGAGGAGAAACTGATTAATTTCTTGGTCTATCTATAGCCAGCCGTTTGGATAGTTTGTTCGTCGTTAAAGAACGTGGGAAAATTAATGATAAAGAAAGAGTGAGAAAATTAGACACCTACATGACCTCAATGGGCGTCAAGCCCACGCTCTACTGGAATATTAATTAATCCCAACAATTATTTTCTATTTTAAAAATGTTATTTTAACCTAGGCCTTCATGCAGTTTTTATTAATCTTATTTTACGATGAGATCAATTATGCCTTCATGCAATTGCTATAAGTTTTGGATCCAGTGACAACTTGTAATTTTTATTTTTATTTTAAAAAAAAAAAAAACAAGGACTAGGGTAGAAATTTACTGGAAAATGAAGATGTTTACCCGTTTCAATTTTAAGAAATAGGTTCGTTAGCAGATGTCGGCTCTTCGGCATGGCATTTTAACATATATCTGGATGTTTTTAAAAGGTATATTTAGCATAAAAAATATGAAATTAATATTTCTATGATTTTAATATATTAATATCAAAAAAATTTAAAAATATTATTTTAATATATTTTTAAATAAAAAATTCTGGTAAAAATATACATTATTACACCTAACACACATGTAGTTTAGAACTTGGAACCAACTCGCCCTCTTTGATTTTTCTTGGTGCGACCAAGTAAAACTCTTTCCGCGTAAAACAGTTCCTGGATTTTAAAATCGTGCAAGGAAATGCTCACTTACGGGAACATATCAGCTTCAAAATAAATGATGGGCAAGGCAACTCATACCTTCGAGTGTATTTGTATTTTAAAAAAAAAATAAATGATGGGCAAGGCAACTCATACATTCGAGTGTATTTGTATTTTAAAATTTTTAAATAATTTTTTTTATAATTTCAATCATTTTAATATGTTAATATAAAAAATAAATTTTAAAAAATAAAAATAATAATATTTTAATATATTTTCAAACAAAAAGATATTTTTAGAAAAACCACTACATATATTTTCAAACAAAAAAATATTTTTAGAAAAACCACTACCATAATCACAAACATAAAATTAATTTACTAACTTACCTTAATAATTCATTCATTCATTCAATCTTATCCAACAAAATGTGCAATTGATTTGAACAACTCATCTGCATTAGGCCGAAGTAATTTTAATTCAAATTCCTAGTTCTACTTCTATATATTAAAATTTCAGAAAAGGGAGGTTAGAGTAGTAGTCTTTCAATAATCATTCCAGTATTTATTATTATGCTAATACAATTACTCTAATTTCTTGACATGATAGTCGAATTATACCAATGAGAACATAAGATAATATTTAACCATCAAGCCAGACTTTCTAAGATTTTAAATAATTTGGTCAAACTCGAATATTTTATGGTCAAACCAAACAGTCCAAGTCTTCTCTTTTATTTGCAATAATTTTAAAAAGTTGTTCCTATAGCTAATAGTTAAAAAGATATTTATTTCCTGGCTTGACGCATTCAAATCTTGGGTTCCAAATTATTTGAAAAATTATTAAATTTATTTAAGGATAGTTAGGAATATAATAATGATTATTTTTTAAAATGTTGTTTGCCTGAAAATTATTAAAATAATATTTTTTATATTTTAAAATTATTATTAACATCACCATATTAAAAAAATTATTTTTTCAAAAAACATAATTCACAACGTAATTTCAAATTGTATATTAAATACATCATAATAATGCGAGGAATGTGTTCTTAATATTGCTTAACAAATATTTAGCTTCAATGCAAGGTGCTCTGAAAATATCTTTTTCTTGAAAAAAAAAAAAACTTTTGTTCACTATTTGAAGTGACCCAACAATCAATTCCCAATTTAAAGCAATCAACCGTCTCGTACCCAATGAATGTACAATGTAGTTGGGTGAGAATAAATTTGAAGCGTTTGACATGGTTACGTGACTAGTGTCTTGGGTTGGTGATTTTTAGTTGGGATTATTTTTTAAAAATATTTTTTATTTTAAAATATTTTTTTATTTTTAAAAATTATTTTTAATACGAGTACATTAAAATATTAAAAAAATTTAATTTAAAAATAAAAAAAATTAATTTTTAAAAGGCAAAAAGGTTCAAAATATTAAAAAAATTAATTTAAAATAATTAAAAAAAAAATTAAAAGGCAAAAGGTCCTATTACTTCCATTTTTACGATCTGTCATTACTCATTAGTTACCAACAACCAGGGAATCCAGTTGCTTAATCTAGCTATTTTATAAAAGCTCTTGAAATTCCTTTTATACAAGAAAACTCTTTTCCGTTAAAAAAAACAAAAAAGAGAAGAATTACCTCATGCTTTTTATTTTTAAAAAATTATAGCTACTTTTGCTAAACAGACATTCTGCAAACTCAACCACCAGTTGGCTTTGCAAACATCAACCACCAGACATCAATTGTCAGCTCTTTAGGTTGGAAAGAATAAACTAAATTAACATAACTAAAAAATTAATTAATTATCAAAGACATAAATGTTTAATTAGATCATGTTTTTCAAATAAATTGATTTTGTTATGTTTCTGAAATGTTTTGATATATTAATATTGAAAATAAAATTAAAAAAACTATTATTTTAACATATTTTTAAATAAAAAATATATTTAAATAACAATCTCTACCATTATTCTAAACACCTTCAGCATCCATAACATCTAATAAACCCTAACCACAGTCCTATCAAGATCAAAATCTAAAATATTTCAGTGAATGAAATAACATATTATAGAGTTACGATAAATAAAGGATGAAATTGCCAAGACTCGAACCAAGTCTTTTCGCAAGGTGGACGAGCATAGATTTATTGACCTTTCCATTGGTTTCCTCTATTCTTATACAATCAAGGGAAAAGCTCGGATGATTTTAAATTAATTTTCTAAAATAAGATTTTTCTCAGTCAAGTCCTCCATCCATACTTAGAGAATTCGACATTATCATTAAATATTTACAATGATTTCAGACAAAGGGTCCAATATAGAACACTAGGGGAAATTAGTTGTTAGGGAACTACTTTGAGAAACTAACAATAGTCTGACAACTAATTTTAGATTATTCCTATTATTATTATTATTAGTATTATTATTATTATTATTAATATGGATTCAGGTTAACTAGGAGCCCTCGTTTTTTAATTAAGTAGGTGATTATGTGCGAAATCTTGTAGAAGTGAACAAATGTGTATATTGTTATTATCTGAAGTAGAAAAATATCAAGGCGCGTCCGTTCATATAATGGAAGCCGAGACTGAACAGGGACAAAAGGCGTGTTGAAATTTGAAAATAGACTTGCGAGTCCGTTATAGCAGCGCCGGGAAAATGACTTGCTGGAAGCCTACGATAGGGCCACCTGAGCTCTAGAATGGAAGTGGTCTTCGCTGATTATTTCAGTTTGAAGAATGGACCTCCGGGTTTGAAGGTAAGTCAAGTTGAAAGATATTTGTTCGTTCAACGATTGAAATCTATACGCAAACCCGTGTTAGGTGGGACGCACAGCGAGCGAGCGGGAGTCCGCCTCAGACACGGCAAGAAGCTGCAAAGGTCACATTCACATGCTATGGAACTCCTGCAATGTTTCACACTTTGTGAGTTTTTGTTCCCTTTCTTAACTAGAAAGTAACAATCCAATGCACAAGTCTCGCCTCCAATGCAGCCGACTAGTGATTTTCTTGTTTTTTACAATTAAAAAGACATTTTAGGTGCTCAAACTATTGTAAGAAAAATAAAATCAGGTGTTAAAACTTTAATATTCCGAATGAAAAGGGTTGATTTTAAAATTTTATTTTTTAAATTGATCGAATAAAAATAAATGTTTATAAACTTTCATGTTATACATACCAAAAATAAATATGGGGTAGCATCGGATAGAGTTTATTAATGTGAATTGTAATGCGATTATTCTCTAAAGATTATTTTGTAAAATTAAAATAAAATCTGACAATATAAAACAAGCAAATAAAAAAATTTTAAAAATAAAAAATAAAATTAAACTCAAGGATAAAATGATATTTTTCATATGATTTATTTGTTATTTTTGTTTTAATTAAAAATATAAATAACTTTTTTAACAAATTTTAGAACAACAAAATACCTTCATTGCACCTAAAAGATAAAAATCCCTTATAATTGGCTTCAAGGGAATTTTTAAAAAATCTCACATTTTATTACATAATAAATTTACTAAATTATCCTCGATCTCAAAATCAATTAAGTTTTTTTAAGAAGTATTTTTATATTTTCATCTAGATTTATATTGTTATAATATGATAGATAGAAAGGTAAATTGGTCTTTGCAATAATTAGAAAATATAAAAAATTCATATGACATTAATTTTACTATATTACCCTGGTTTTCATAATTAATTTAGTTTTTTGGGAGGCATTTTTGTATTTTAATATGGATCTTTTCTATTATAATTGAGTGGGTAGAGAGGAATATTGGTCTTTGCAATAATTAAAAAATTTAATAAATATTCGAGCATGTCAGGCGTGTGCTTCGTGTGGGGAGGTATATGGAAGGTTCTATAAAGTTTTAGTGACACATAAAGCATTATCAGGTGGTCGAAAAAATTCCTTTCATCGTGTTAGTTGATTGCCTATGACGTACTTTTACTCGACAGGCGATGTGTGTTGAATTGTGATGGGCAGATTATTATCAGAGATGTTTTTTTCTCTCTTCTCCCTCGAAATTCACGTCTAACATTGAAAATTTCATAGCAGTCCCTTTGGTTGGGAATATTTGAGAATCAGTCCTTGTTCTTTTAAATTTTTAATTTGTATCCTTGACCTTTTTATAATTTTTTATTTTTTTAATTACATCTTTCCATCTAAATTTTTGTTTTTTGATTTTTAAAATTTTATCTTGACTTTTTTTCTTCATTTTTTCTTGCCTCTTTTGCAGACTTTAAATTGTTTTTAATTTTATTATTTAATTAAAATTTTAAATTTGTTAATTTTTTAAGATTTAGCTCTCATTCTCTTTGTGGTTTTTTTTTTAATTCTTATATATATATATTGCAATTTATCCCCTCAACACAAAATTATCCATCCTTCAAT